CCAACCATATCAAATCAAAGCCTTGACCGTAAATCTCCATGTTTGCTCTAGATGCTGACCGGGACAAATGGAAAAACATCTCTTTCACGTGTTCCTGCAGTGCTTGCAAAAGAAAACAGAAAGGAAGAAAAAAAAAAACAGAATTTCCAGAAGAGGCAAAACACTCGTAACCACTGGTAATATGTTTCTCATGGTGGTGCATTCATAGCAGCGAGGGAGGCAAATGCCTTTGGTTAGGAAGAGCTATTTATTCTGTCCCTGGAAACGGTTGAAGAACAACAAAAGCATTCTTAACAAAGAGAAGCACGACCTGATGCTGCAGCCTGTTTTTTTTTGTTTTTTTTCTGTCTGCGGTGACTGTATCCTCCCCTAACGTGGGGGCACCGCTGGCACACATCATACTCGAAGATCCACACAATAGGCACACTCAGTTACGGGAGAACTTTTCAACTCAAAAGCGGTGTAAGGAACCCAACCAAAACAAGAGAACCCTGCTAAGTTAATTCTTTAATGGTTCAAAAAGGTCCATGTGGGTAAGCTCAATGGAGAAAAATAAAAACACTCCAAGTTCTGTTGTTTAGATTTGCAGGATGCAGTGCACACGATTCCACTAACATGTACTAAAAGTTCAGTTTAAAACAAACACATATTCACCAGAGGACCCACAGTGAACTCTGTCCGCTGAATCACTACAGGCTTGGGAGGGAGTTCAAATTTTCAGACTGACAGGGAACAGATTCTGGTGGTCTGAATGTCTCAAGCTCTTGATTTTTAACCACATGACTCTACTTGTTTACTATGGCACTGGATTAAGGAGTGCCATTTAAGGTTTAGACACGTGCTGTTCTCTGAGAAAAAGTTCATATGATAGTCGGCCATTTCTCTTCTGAACTCACCTACTGTTATTTTTTTTTTTTTACATTCTCTACATTAGTTTGTTGCATATCAGCTAAACGTTGCTAGCTGTTTGCTCTATTTAGAGATCAAAATAGGGAAGTAGGGGCTTGTTTTCCCAAGTAAAAATATGAGACAACTCGTAATTTGAAAACTATGAAGGTGTGAGTTGAAAAGTCAGCAGTCAGTAACATTAATCATGAATAAATACATTTAATCTAAAGGAAAGAAATCAAATGTTATTGCGGAATTTCGGGACGGATGGCTTTTTTAAATATATTTTAATCACGCATGATGTAGACAAAGACAGGTCAGTGAATGTCTTCGAAGTGGTGAAACGATCACTTCTCACAAGGGAGAATTGTTTGTGTTTGTGATAAAGGCTTTTTCCAGCAGGAGCTCTCTAAGCTTTTAAAGCTAATTCTGTTTGTTTGTGTTGGCCGTGTAAGCTGCCACTTGTTGATGTATCCGCTTTTAAGTGACTTTGAGACGTAGTGGCGCCCTTTTGTGGGCATGGCGACTTGTCAGTGGAACTAGTTGCCTCCAAGAATATTTCCAAGCTTTTCCTGGAGCCTTGCTTCGTGCGGGAGTCAACTGTTGAATCTTTTACACAATTGTCACTTTTTATTGGTTTCCTCCTTTTTCTTTTTCTTTTATTATGGAATTGTGTATTATATAATTCACACAGGGGAATGGAGATCTTGGTGTGTCCGTGTGCATGTCTAACACTGTCCTTGCTGTTGCATTTTCATATTGTTTAAAGCTTCCTGATGTAATCAGCAAATCGGTGTGTAATTAAAGAGCTGGGAAACAAAAGCTAAGGGGTCAGAAAGATCATGGCAAACTGTTTGAAAGACAATGTTATTTTGGGACCTGGTAATAAACCCCAGTGGTGTGTGAAGGTACAAGACCTTTGAACAAAGAACGGCTTCCGCTCTACCAGCTTTACCTGGCCTTCTATTAGCCCAATGGACCTGGTTGTCACTCATGTTTGCTCGAGAGTTTTTGCTCTGTGTGGAGGGATCATTTGTAATGTTGCAGTGTATCGTAATAACATTAGAGACTTTATTTTCCCCGTGTAACAGATGAATGTCTAAAGGGGTAAAAAAAAATATTAGGACGAGGACAGATTATTTCTGCCCTGCATACACTGAAAAGCGAGCTCAGAGCAAACAACATCCACAAAAGTGTTGTTCTGATTGTTGGTCCAACACTTTGGTCAAACTAAATATGTTAATATGTATAGATGGATCATTTTACAGCCTAACCCAGCGAGTGCGAGGTCTAGATTAAACAACTTTTTATAGCCTATGTATGTTAAAAGTACAGTTAGATGAATGAATTTGTATTTACTCACTGGACAGGGATTTCTTTTCTTGTGTTTAAATCCTTTGATTTAAAAAGGACTGTGTTTTGTCTTTGTCAGATATTGCCCTATTGCATTTAAGACACATAATTAATAATTTATCCATAACTGTACAGTGGCGTGACATGTGAGATGGTCCTGAAATGATCGCATTTGTTTGTCCGGGAGTCTTGCAGTGGGCATGACATTTTGTGTGGGTGGAAAAGAGCCCATCAATTTTATTCCACAGCTGCTGAGCGTGCCTGAGAAACAGAGTACCTCAGAAAGGAAACATTTTTCTTAGTAGTTTTATATCATCTCACAGAAATGCAGAAGGTGGTTGACTCCCGACAGAACAAAACATCAACTAAACTGATGCTTGTGTTCTTCAGGCTATTGGACTCTGATAAATCACTGTCAAATTACAACTGCAATGTCACTGCACATGTGCAAAAACTGTGCTTTTCACGTCATTTGTTATTCACTATTTCTAAATGGATAATACACCATCTAAAACCACTGTTTTTGAGTGTCTGCTGGAAGATACCAAGCCTGAAGCACAAGAACAGCTGCAAGAGCATCCCTGTTATCTCAAGAGAAAAATCTACTATAACCTTACAACACAAACAACATTCCTTAAGACAGTGCTCTGCCAAACAAAAGTGCACTTACTGTTTGACTTAGATGAAGGGGCAAAACAATAATCTCACTCTCTCATTGGGGTTCATGCTTTGAAACGGGAAAGTAAAATTCCCTTGATGTGTAAACATGGCAGGATTTCTGGGGCTCTTGTGCAAGCTTGCTCTCACCCCTGGTTATACATGACACGCTGGGAAATATCAAATTAAATGAGCTTGTCAAAGAAAAAACTGAAAGATAAATAAAGGGTGCTATTATTACTTTGAGCTGTTGTGGCTAATAGCAGCAACGCCCCCCCCTCCAAAAAATACACAGGAAAGAGAACATGATGTTCATGAGAGGTCGGCTGATGGTTTTTATAGGGAGGCCTCCCATGGTGCTAGAGGCATGAGACTAGTTTAGACTTAAGGTTTCCTTTCTGAAGAAAGGTTTTTATTATATGGCACATTTAAGTGTTATGGTGGAAGTGAAAGTTTAAAGAGCTCTACTTTTGTATAATTTGAGGTACTTATCTTCAAACTTCCACTAAGTCTACTGAGTTACTCTCCAGCTTCAGATTAATAACAGTTAGGGCTATGAAAACATAAATCATGATGTCAATTTACAAGGTTAGATAATAATTAATTGATCCCTGGGGGGAAATAAGCAAGCTACCCATACTGAAATGTTTCTGCCCTTTTAAAATGGGCGGAGGCAGGATAATTGTGTTTTGACTCATTATAAAATAATTACCTGTAACTGGCAAGACTGAGCAAAGCCAGTGGATTACACAACAAGTTACGTGTTAAAGGAGAGGCCAATTATTCAAAAAGTACACACCTGTATAAGAAGTGTCGTAAGTTGTAGTAAGTCCCCTCACTTACTTAATAGAATACTTATTAGATACTCCCATACTCCCATTGGGCGGCAGTAGCTCAGTCTGTAGGAACTTGGGTTGGGAACCAGAAGGTCGCCGGTCCAAGTCCCGGTGCGGACCAAATATGGAAGATGGCCTGGTAGCTGGAGAGGTGCCAGATCACTTCCTGAGCACTGCCGAGGTGCCCTTGAGCAAGGCACCAAAACCCCCTCCCCACCATCAGCTCAGGAGCGCCCGCTGTGGGCAGCTCCATCACTCTGACATCTCTCCATTAGTGCATGTCCATAGGAGCCTGTTTGTGCATGTGTGTATTTCAGCCTGTGTGTGTGTGTAGCATGATAAACAGAGTGTAAAAACAGAATTTCCCTTTGCGGGGATCAATAAAAGTAAATCTTAATCATTTATTTTAAACAAAAAAACGACCATGTATCTTTTTTTCCAGACACTAAGTTCAGCAATGAAGCAGACAAGATCATTCATCTGCATAGACAACAGTAGCAGCTTTAATCAAAGCATACAGGGACACCACAACTCTCATTCCTCACAGCCCACTGTAACACAGCTTGTTCAATAGCACCACCAAGAGGACTCTTTACACACAGAACACCTCTGAAGAACATTCACACTTTTAAAGGTGTTTTTTTACAACTGAGGTTTTATTTTATTTTCTGGCTAAGTATGTGAAATGTATCCCCCACTGTGGGTCATTGATAAGTAATTAAGTAGACTTGCTCATGTGCTGTACCTCAGTACAATATTGAGGTACTTGTTAACATCTTCTCCACCAGAGGGAAATATTATTACTTCTCTATATTTGTGCAATTCCTGTCGGAAATTATTTTAGAGGGGGTGTTTAGTAAAAGAATGTAAATACTGAACTGTACCTCTAGATCTTTACCTTTTTAATAGTTCTTGTCTAGCAATCCACTCTTTAACTGAGGATAGAGATACTTTAACACGAGATGCTTGTATTTCAAAAATTCGTATCTTGACTCCCAACAGATATTTTGTCAGAAGGTTTTAGGTCTCAAATACATATCAGTAGGGAAATAAATCAAAGAGTCTCCCTGTGATTTGCACTTGGATTTAAAAACCTTAAATGACATCTTGTGAACAACACAACCACACTTTCGAATTTGATCGCTGGTAACTTAACAAAAACAATTGCAAATGTTTTTTTTACAAGTTGTATTACTTTGAAGTAAATTCTAAATAGATTTAAGTGTAAAAAGGAATAAGAGAAACAAACAAAACAAAAAGCACATCTTTAGCCAGCTCTTTTCAATTTATTGAAAGAAATGCACAATAAATGCAGGTGGAAAATGATTTCTGAAGAATCATTCTTTTCGTACATGTCTTTTGAAGCATGGCAATGACATTTTTTTTTAACTTTGAACACCTGAAATCACCAGATACAACAAAACCAACTAGACATGTGCTTGATTCTTAAAGAAAATTGATCACTAAACACAAAGGGCAATGATAGCAATGTTAGAGCACGACATTGGATTAAACAGTCAGTGTGTCTCCCATCTTCAAAGCACTGACTGGATAACTTTAAACTCTATTCCCTTTGGACCTTCACAGCTCTTTTTTTAATGGGGTCAGTAAGCAGTGTAGGAGAGGTCTGCATGTGCAAAGAGGGCGTGTGTTTGAAATCATTAAGAGAAAAGAGATTCTCTGTGAACAAGATGTTGCATAAAGACAATACAAATACAAAGATAACTAGTAGTAAACACTTCTGTCCCTTTACTCACCATGCATTTGCAACTAACTGACCTCATTTCTGTTTGTTAGTGCAACACTGCCATTTGGAAAAAATGCATGTTTCATATAGGGAATGAAATAAAGGGGAGAATACATAAATAATATTGAACTAAATAAAACAAGTGAAACAACATTTATTTCACTAAAACAAGACACATATTACATAACAGAAATTGCTTTTTTTATCCAGGAATGGAGACATGAAGCGTTAATTCAGAGTGGATGTTCCAGATTTACAAACTGATCCTAAAGAGAGACGAGAACTTTGAAATAGATATCAGTCAGACAGATATACTCTAGTGGAGTGTCACTAATGTAGATGTGGTAACATCCATCAAATGGAAAACAGCATCACACAGAAAAATCACTTTTCAACACTACATGAATTCGCAAGAGATTAATGACAGAGGAAGACAAGATTACAGCTCTCAGTCTTCAAACCTCCCATCAAGGATGCTTTCAAAGGTGAAGGGCAGGAATTTGAAGCCCTGGCCTGTGTAAAACTTGTTTTGGAACTCCACCCTGTAAAAACAAACCAAAAAAACAACAATGATGAAATCAAAAAAAACAATTAGGCAAAGCATCTGTTTCGGTAGCGCAGGGACACAGTTTGGAGGGGTTTCAGGTTGCATAATGCTGAGCATAGCAGTCCCGTCTGATGACCCTTGCTCCTTATTACACTGTTTGTAACCACCTGTGACTGCTCATGCCTACCGCCCAGCCTGACACCTGAATCTCTTTCCCTCTGGAAACTGATCTGGCTCTATTTTTAGAAGACCAATGCTAATTGATGGCTGGATGACCTTTTACACTGAGGTGCCACAAATACCTCCCATACTGTAGCCTGTCTGGTGTTGGAAAGTAGACAAGCAGGGGAGTATCATTAAAAAATATATATAACTCTGAAATATTTAAACGCAAAAGACATCAGAAATTACTCCAAACTGGTGTTCTTGTCCACCAACTACAAGATAACTGTATAAAGAACAAGAACTAAAGGTTGAGAATAGATTTTGTCACACAGGCCTTACATGTTTTACATGTTCTGATTGTCCCTGAGGCCATTCAGTGAAAACTGATTCACCCAGTGTTGCTGTGTAAAGGATTATCACAGAGGAGAGTGGCTACAACTGAAACATACCCTGTAAGCGTTCCAGTTAAATTCTAAAAAGCAGGATGACATTCAGCATCGCCAGAAAAAGACTTTGATGAATGGACAACAAAGGCCTAGAGTCTTAGACCGTTTGGTGTACCGCACAACAAATCATAAGAGGAGAGCTTTACACGGTCAAGAGCCAGATGTGTTCCAGTGAACCAGCCAGGAAAGAAAGGGGGAGAAGAGGACCCAACATTTGGATTACTTTAATAGATAAACAGCCTTTTCTGACTGTCAAACACACCTTTAAATGTTTTTGTGTAATTTGTGTAATGATCTGAAGTAGACAGAATGACCTGTGTTATCCTCTGTTTCAGTTTGACTACTGTACATCTACACACACAAAAAATATCTTTCAGGGTAGTTTTTGTGTGCCAATAGTGGCTACCGTTTCTTATAATTAAAACTAATTCATTTTAGTTTGTAATTTGGTTTAATCGTCTTTTTTACTTTAAAAAAAAAAAAAAGCTGAAATCCAGTGAAGATGATCCCAAAAGTGAAAGTGTTTAAAATAACTACTAAAAGAGACAGTGGTCTTGTATCTATACATCTCTTTAGAGGCACCTTGGGATTATCTTCTGAGACAGTGAAATACAAACTGTCCAGCAGATGGAGCTGGAGGTCAAAAATGTTTAGTGCTCACCATTACCAAGTACCTATAGATTAATTTCGTTGGACAATCGTATAAGGACAATAAAGATTACTGAACTCACCAGTGAAGTCGCAGTGCATGCAAGAAGGCTGACAGGCCTTCCATGATGAGTAGAATGGCCACTGTGAGGACAGCAAAGAAGTAAAAGACTATGGCTACGAGAATAAAGCCTCCGAGCTTGCTGGTGGCGGAGAGGCCAATATGCATCACCATAGACCACAACACCTCCGACAACTCTGTGCATGGGGAAAAGACAGCAAAGATGTAATCGTCTCAACATGTCAATCTATTTTCATAAGTATGTGTGTATCAATATGAACATAATATTAATAGTGACATTTTTTTTTTGTAATAAAAAGGATGAAGAGTGTGACTTACGAGCATGAGCCAGACTGAGGGCCCAAAGCCTCAGATAAGAGGCAGTGTTAGAGATACAGCCCAGGCAGTACTCTATGGTGTGGATTGCCTGATGCACTGCCACATCTCCAAAGTCAAACTGTGGGCAAAAAGACATAACTGTACATCAGCCCCAATCTTTAGAATGCACCGTCTCTACCAAAAGGTCCCGAGGTCCACATTGGAGAAGTCTGGTTCATTGTGTGTGCATGATCATTCAGGTAAGCGATAGGAAAGCCTGTTCCCCCATGTATATCTACAAAGCCCCCAAAATTAAAACAAGCATCAACCTCTATGGACCCTTTAAACCCAGATAATCAGCTGCCCTGCTTATGCCCCATGCACATCACGGCTGTAAGGAAGCACTGTCCTACTGGCACCAATGGTTTGTGAAATCCCTGTAAGAAATGTTCCAACAACAGAATCCTAGAAAACACCGACCACACACACACACAGACAGACGATGTCTAACGCCCTAACAGACACCACTAAGAGCAGCGATGGTTAACGCCGTACAAAGCTGACGAAACGAGGGGCAGACAGAGACAGGTTTACAAGACATGCACTTTGACAGCAGGGGGAAAGGTTTCAGGGATGAGGTGCAGCATGAGCGCCCGTCCTACCTCTTCCTCTGCACGGGCCTTGACAGCAGGTGACAAAAGGCAACGCTTGGTTATTGACAGCAAACACACACCCAGATGGACAGACATCAGTCAACAGGAAAGTAACAAAAGAAATCAGTTACTCGCTTACAAAAGGAAGGAGGGCGAACCCAACATGAGAGGATGACAACACTGCAACATGTGCAGTCAGGGCATTTTAAATAATGACTCTCTTTAAAAAAGAGGCCCACATCTAACCCCTCAGGATTCAGTGAACATGTTTCCAAAGAGTGATCCAGCTCTTCAGGATGTACAACAAACAGCTGAGAGGTCTAATTTTCCAAGTTTTATCACACTGGATATTCTTTATATTTTAAAGGCAAAAAACAAACACAAAACTGGACTTAATTAAAAATACAGAATAACATAAAACATCAAATAACTAAATCAATTACATTAGTTCATTTAATCTCTCCACAAAATTCACAGTAATGCAAGAGTGGCCGTGTGAGGCTTGTTAAACATCTTTTTCCAAAACCAGGCATTAATCCATTATTGATATAATTCACTGCTACAGTGGAAGTGGAAACATGAGGTGTTGGTTTCTGTTTCCAGTCTTGGCTGGTTGAATAAATTATTCAAAGATGTGAGTTGATCCTATGACCTGTGTTCCAACAGCCCATTCACCCCTCTTATCAAACTTCTGGCCTGCCATTTCTCTCTCTCTCTCTCTTTTGAAATGCCTCCTTACCTCAGGCTCCTCCTCTGACTGCTGCGACAGCTGGTCATGCTGGATGATTTCAGCCTCATCCTCTGTGGGTCCATTGCCCACTCTGATCCCTCCAAAGTTTTGTGTACCCTGAAGTAGAGGTTAAATGGCATCATTAATCTTGATGAGAAGTCCCTTTGTTTGCTGATAATGCAGTTATAAAGAGACACCACTTGCAGATTGTCTTTTTCTTACCATGTTTTTCCGCCACAAATACTGTCTCCTCATAACTAGAGTTTTCACTATCAACATACAGGGAACACAAGCCAAGGCGATCATCACCAAGAGTGATTGAATGGCCATCTGCATGTTCAAAGAGGGAAGACAAAAAAACAAAAACAGAACATTATATTGGTGTTGTTGGTTTTCGAACAGGACAAAATGATGATAGAGGTTACTAACAAGTGTAACTGACCTGTCCCCTGTAGAGAGGTTTAACATTGGGGTCATTGTAGTTGAAGAGGAACATGTTTATAAAGGCGATGAGGAGACTGGGAGCCTCCCTGGATGACAGTGCATCGTATGACAGCCATTTGTAGAAGATTAGAAGAGCAAGGTAGCCGAACAGACTGGCCATGAAGACAATCTCAGGGATGAATCCCAGGTAGATGTTCAGGGGCTTCTTGAAATACCTTTTGAGAAACGCAAACAGTCACCAGTTTGCCATAGAAATCATGCACGCGTTTAAAAAAAGAAAGAAGATATGCAGGCATCAATGGGGATGAAAAATCTCACAGGTGGTTGAAGAGACTGAGACTGACTCCAAACAGCATGTGGATGACTCCCAGGATAACAGACATCTTCATTTTAAACGAGTTCAGGAATGTCAACTTGTTGGTGGCGATGTTCCATATCTTAGAGACAAGACGATAAAAAGACCAACATCTTCATTGATGATTAACATATGCTTGCATTGAATGTTGGCTAGATTCCTTTAAAGATATTCAATCACAGTTAACATTGCTAGAGAAGAACGTTATTGTTAGCACTACCATTGTGACTGATTCATTATTTTTAACCCATGAATAATCTAATGCCAAGAGTTGACTTGATAGCATGTAATGAGTAACAATTGAGCTAGTTTAAAAAAAAAAAAAAAAAAAAAAAAAGGCACAATAAAAGGAAAGGCACAATAAAAGGAAATATAGATTACAAAAGAAAAATATTTACCGGATCGATGCCAATGGGGTATGGCCCTTTGAACACTCCATCAACAGCTGGGTCCAACTGCAAAACTTTACTGTTTTCAAGTGTTGCAAACCTAAACAACAAGACAGGACACAAATAGAGATTTACAAACTTGAATACGGCTAGCTATAGCGGTCACTAGGAATAAGCAATGATGCTTACGTCCAGTTTCCTCCTACTCGAGCATCAAACATGGGCCTGACACTCCAGCCAGAGCCAAACACATTGAGGGGACTTGGAGAAGCAGTCGTTGTAAATGATCCCAGTGTAGATGGAGAATATTCCCATCAGCAGGATGATGTAGCGCCCTGCAAACACCATGCTGAACATCTGCCACCAAAGAAACAATGACAGACAAACTGAAATCAACTATGCTTCTCAAAAAAAAAAAAAAAACAACAGAAAAGCCATTCACAGCTATTGGAGCATTGGGGTCGGTGTGCTTAAAGTAAGGATGGCGTAGGAATGATCGGATGGCGATGATGGGATCCATACCTCATTGTCGTTCTTTTGTGCCATCAGCCTGCTCTCTCTCAACACAAGGTAGAGGGCAGCGCACGTCATGAGCACCCCGTGGCCCAGGTCACCAAACATAACAGCAAATAGGAAGGGGAAGGTGATGATGGTGTATGGCGCTGGAGACAAGGAGGTAGGGGGGGGAGGCATCACATGAGGGGGTGTGGCAAATGAAACAATGCATGAGTAAAACATAAGACAATACACAACATGTCCTCTGATGGTGAGGGGGATAATGAGTGATGAGGCAGCAAGTGACTGTAGTTTCAGGCCGCTACACTGACTTTAAAAAAAAAATGCCTCAAAGATACAGGATTACCCCGCTGGTCGGGTTAACTGATGTACAGAGAAAGGTGTGCTAACCTGGGTTAATCTCACGGTAGTTGCCAATTCCATAGGCATCCACGATGTTTTGGAAGCCTGAAGTGAACTTGTTGGTCTTGTTAAAGGTGGGTGGGGTCTGCTTGGTCTGCATCCTATTGAGGATGGAAGGCACTGTGGAGCCGCTCTTCTCCTAAGAGACAAAAGACACAAGAGTATGATGGATATGACCTTTCTTTCACAGATTTGAGCAACTGGAATATTTCTGAAATGGATATTGAGAGAAACGTAATGTCCTCAATATTTTTTAATCTCTTTAACTTTCTCAGACTTTCGCTGGGAACGCAAAAAGCTAAGTGAACATGAATGAAACGGTATCACTTCGGATTCTCTCTCATTTTTTATTTTAACGAGTCTCACAGCCAAAAACATCCCTCATATTGTATCTTGTCCTCAGTATAATCTTATTTCAATGAACTGATTAATATATATATATATATATATATATATATATACACACACACACACACACACACATATTTACATTGTCTGAGTTCAAAATGCCTACTAGGACAGCTTTGTAGAAGGTCAAGTGGCACAGATACAATCTTGATACCACCAACCAAAGTCTCATGTTTCAACAGCAATTAAAATAACGACAGCTGACAGATAAACTCAGTGCAGAGACAGTGGGCCTTGTGTAGTACTACTAAATATCCACATACACAAATATAAGGTCTTTTTTATTTAAAGCTTCTGTGTGGAGTTTTTAGCTGGTTAATGCAACAGACTTGTATACTGGTGCCTCTATGACCTAGAAGATATTCAGCTGCAAGACCGATCATTTATTACATAGTTGTAATACAAGTTTGTAACCACTGCCTCCAAGTGTCAGACATAAGTAACTACAGCACGCTGTAGAAATAACACTTTTCTACATTCTCTAAAGCAGAGATTCAAAGTCTGTGATACATTTGGCTGCTAAAAGCCAGAGACAGGATAAGACCTTCTAAGATGAAAGACATATCATTTTGTCCACAGGGGGCCAAAATCGACACAAACCAAAAGTTCCTCACATGAGCTTGAATGAATTTTTCTAAAACTTGTCCAAATCTGGCCCACAACAGATAAAGAGATTCTCCACTGTGAACAACAATTTCTAGCTGAGAACATTGTTGCATATATAATGAACAAAAATGTCTAGCATAGAAGAAGACAGATTTGCCACCAATATTAAAACAGCATTTGGTCTTGATCACAGCAGGGTGAGCAGCGGGCTAACCTGCTTTGTTTACTGTTTTCAGCAGCTGGGATAGCTGCAGCCCCGTCCTCCATCAACTGCTATCTACTAGTTTTCACCATGATAGGAATAAGATGCAACTAGAATAATTTTGGTTTATTAAAAAAAAATAATAATAAAAAATACATAAGCAAAATATTGTGTAAAACTCTGACATGTTTCTCTTGTTGGTGATGATCCAGTGGAATAAATACCGGTAAACCTTAAGGCATTGTAAACAAATGAATATCTGAGAACAAACCAAATGTTAAGACTTGTTTGTTTTGAGAAACTAGTTCTGCTACATTCAACACAAGGCGAGGTTGAGCCTATTGTCTAAAAATAAATGAAATGTCTTTTCTATCCAATATGAACCTCCTAAATGGTGTTTTAAAAAAAATCACAATCACCCTTGTGCTCAATTACTCACCGTGCCCCTGCGCAGGGCAAACTGGATGGAATCCAGGTCGGAGACGGGACACCACACCTCAGCGATCAGACACTTTTGAGTGACGTCAATGTTGCAGAGGTTGAGGGTGTGGTAGATGGCCTTCATCTTCCTCACCTTGATGAACCACACTCTGACTGTCTTTGCTGCAGCCTGCAGGACTCTCTGCCTGTGATCCTCAGTCTGGTTCAGCACCTTTGGGGTGAACAGGAGTAGAATGATCGTTATGAGAATGGAATCTTTAACATGACTGTATTACATGTTGTTCATTGTCGCACTACGATCAGAAAAGACTGGCACAGTGAGAAAACTAAAGAGAGCAGAAGTGGGTTTAAAGGACTGTTTAATAATCCGTATGGATTTTTCCAAAAGAGACATAGGATTTAGCTAGGTATGCTGCTATATGACTCACATTCAAAGCTAAGTCCCATGATGAGCAAATCGAAAAATATTTCAGCTCTTTGCTGTCTGGCTACAGGCGCGGTCTCGCCTGCTGCGGAGAGGCTTAATGGCTGACACAAAGCTCATTGTTTTTTCCCCACCCAAATAGCCAGACATTCTCCCTCAGCCCTCATAGCAACAAACAGAACATTCACACACTGGAATCATCTCAAATATGTCTAGTTTGAGCAGCTTCTGTCATAGTGTCATAGTCCTACAACATCTGAGTATGTGACAAGAGAACCAAGTTGACACAAGTGGCCGACTGACTGAAGTTAAAGTTGAAATGCACGTGTAAGAGAAGAGCAGAAACTACAACAAAAGCTGGATCTGTTATATGGAAGTATGTGTGCCATGATGTAGAAGTATCAGACAAGAAACATTTCAGCTCTTATTTACAAAGCTTGAGGAAGGAGAAATTCTGTGGGGCTCCCGATGGCACAAGATGACACGTTACTAGAAGGATTTGACAATGCAAGTACAATAATAACTGTGAGGTTTCTATGGAGAGAGTCTGCCTGCTAGAAGGCCGTCATTAGCCATTAGAGGGCAAAGCTAGACATCCCAACAGTTGTTTAGCCTGTAGGGTTTGGTGTTCACACACGTCACAATTTAGGATTAAATCAACTGCTATGGAATTTTTTTTTTGCAATGGAGTAAGTCAAAATATGCAAGACTCCAGAAAACCACTTTTAGAAAAACTAGGGAGGAAGGGGAGTTATCACAGTTATTGTAAGAAATACAGTATGATAGTAACTGAGTCATCTAAAAGAGCATTTATGATCACTAACCACCCCATCTATCATCCTTAAAGTAATCAAGTCACATATGAATAGTAGCAGTAATAAAAGTAAAAGTTAAATGAATTAAATTAAGACAATAATACTCCTCATTTGTGCAGCCTACTCAAATAAAATGATGCAAGTTATCTGGCTTAGAGAGTAGGAAGTAAGTGGAGAGTGAATAGTGAAGTGCAGATGAAATTTCTTAATGACTTTCTGTAACTTCCTCTGACAACGATCTGCACAACACTTTGGGGGGGGGGGGGGGAACAGTCTTCCTGACCATGCACAAACAAAGAGAGTACTAACCAGTTTTTAAATGTTCTATGTGCAAGTCAGCGTTTATAAGTCAACACTGCATGGCGGTTTTGCCTGCAAGTGTTTTTACCATTTGCAGATCCTCAATTCGTGCGTTCACCCCTGCCAGCATCTCTTTCCTCTCCTGGGGAGTTTCTGGACACGGGTACAGGGTTGCCCTGAACCTTAAGACAGGAAAAGTAGAACAGATTAGGGTCTGTTTGCCAGGAGCATCCTGCCAAATTGTAGGAATGTTTGGTAGAGACTAACCCCTCACAGATCTTCTTGACTCTATTCTTAAGCTGGTCACCCTGGAAGAAAATGATGAAGACAGACTTGTGGACCTGGTCGCCCTGTGGGGAAAAAAAAAAGTTACATTTAGGACTTTGAGAGAAGAGAGCACTGAAACAGACACTAAATACAGACACTAAATACTAACTTGACACTAAATACAAGCTACGTAACTTTTAGAGACAACTAAACACGACTCTGTTTAAAAAGATCAGTTCTGACCGTAGTCGGGTCCTCCAGAGGATCTTCAATGTCTGCCTGCCTCAGGAAAACATTTCCTCTGCAGACTCTCCACAGCATCCTCTCGAATGTGGGAATACGTTCCCTGCCAATCACTCCAGCAACAAATCTGTACCACATGGAAAAAAATCTTTCACCAATGTTGAAATGTTGAACTTGATGTGGCTAAAAACTCTTCAATACTCTTCCAAGTTTACTTTTAAATCATAGTCAAAAAGAAGAACTGAGCTCAGACCTGCATACAGAAAAGCAGAGAGTACTTAAAGTTCTGTTTCTCAAACATACAGTATTATCATGAAAGATGCAGCCGCTGCATTTTCTGCAGCTTCATAGCCCGATGCCAATAAAAGTCTAGTTACCGTATTTTTTTTGTTTGTGTAAAAGCCTGAGTTATAACTTCAGCTTGAAAACACATTACATGAAAAGCAAATATATCTGTAGGCAAAAGGGAATCAAGTGAGAGGTTCTTTACATAGTCAATCCAGTTGGCTTCATGTTGTCTATCTGTTTTTTTTAACTCCTAAGAAGTTGTTAAGTTTTACTCAATATCTACAATAACATGAGATTTCCTCTTTAGGTGACCTTTGTCACCTGACTAAGCTGGGCAGTCTGAGCTGCTGTGTGGGAGCTGATTGGCTGGTTGTTACACTCCGCTTACAGTCACAGATGGCTGAAGTGAACAGAATGGAAATCTCCCTGAAAAGAAACAAAAATGTGATCCTTTTGAATTGGGGGAAAGACCACAAAAGTAGACTCACCCGAGTCTGAGAGGAGCCCTGTTAATCTCACTGGGGTCTATGAGGGTGGATGATTCCTCCAGTAAACTGGGATCCTCCATCTGAAGGAAAACCAGTTAACAGATCATCAGCTACAACACACAAACATTTCCTAAACCGCATTGAAACATATACATTCTTGTTAACACTGCTTTTATAGAGCCACTCAAGAGTTTTAATTTACATGAATGTTGCGATGTGGACGGGAGGAAGACACAAGAACTGGTTAATGATTAAAAAGCTACGTGTTTGGCTGAATGATTCACCTCATTTAAAGCCAACTACAACTTGTAAAGATGACTTTAACCGTGTCAGTCAATTTTGTTTTGTTTGTGAAAGCAATGAAGTGGAATTGATGTTGGGCAAAGGTGGGCAGGCAGAGCTTTGTTCCACCACATGAGAAATGTAGACAGGATTAAATCTGTTCAAACAGAAAAGAGGAGTGGATTTGAGGCTTATTAGCTCATATGAATAGCTGGTGTGAGAGGGCCAAGGCCATGTGAGCAACTATAAACGATCACGAGTGAAACACCTTTTGTCAAATCAAGCAGCATAAGCATGCCTTTGTGTGTGGTTATATGTGTGTGTGTGTGTGTGTGTGTGTGTGTGTGTGTGTAATGGTGATCAGTGAAGAATTTGTATCAGGCCAATGACAACCAGAAACAGCTCAATTTAGACAAAAAGACTTTCACATTCAGAATTTAAAGTCAGGGTTGGACAATAACCTATAAATACATTTAGACTACACATCATATGTTTATAAAGCCGAATTCAAAGGTTTTATATCTCACAAATATGGCGATTAACACTTGAGAATTCAACGTCGAACTTCTCCTTCAGGCCACCACAGTGTCAGCAAAATAAAGAACCATAACTCCTTTGTTTTGAGGGGCCTACGTGCACAGTAAAGCTGACCTCATCAAAAAACTGCTGAGTGCGGCGCAGGATGTGCTTGAGCTCGGTTAGCTCCAGGAAGTTCTTTTTTAGCGCCTCTTGGTTAGTGTTGATTTCCTTCAGCTCGTTTTCAAGTTTCTCAAATGTGGCCTGTGGTGAGAAAACACAAGTGTCAATGTGGAGACGCAGAGAGTTCACTGTTTATCTCAAAGAGAGAGAGGGACAGAGAAAGAGCAGTCACCTCCAGGTCGATCATGTCCCTCGGGAAGGGAACTTCAGGGTTCTCTCCTGTGTCGACCATTGGGAGGTGGGCCTTCTTTATTTCTTTCTCCACAAATCCTTCAAGTAACAAGACACAGGAGGGGTTCAGATGTTCATCTAGTCATGTATGCAGTATGAAGGTGAAAATCAAAAAATAAGGGGTTTTATGTTTTTAGAAGACTGAGTTGCTAAAACGTTACCTCCCACCACGGGCTCACGCGAAGGAAGACAAAGGCGTCTCTAGCAAGATGCATCTAATCTCACTTACTCAGTTTTCGATCCATCTCTTCACATCGTCGTACTTCATTGACAAACTTTCGTTGGAACACATTCACATCAGGATTCAGCTGCAAAAAGGACAACATTAGTGAGAGACTGTGGAGTCTCCAGACTTTAAACACATAAATAATCCGCATTGTGCATTAACAACATTTGTAACATAACACTGAAGTGCACCAACGCTAGCGTGCTGCTCCACTATAAATTATTTATTGATGCTGCCAAATTCTACAGCTTTCCACTGACTGTGCTACTCTGACAGTCCATTATTAAACTCTTCCAACAAATCCTTTCTTTTCTATATCATCATTTTATAATATAGCTTCTTAAAGGAGCACTATGTAGATTTGGAAATGAAATTTGAAAGTTGGAGAAGTGAAACAATTCTATGCTTTATTTTCTGAACTAAATACACAAACTTTATTCAAAGGACAACAATGGCTCCCTGGAACACTAAGCTACCAGGAGAGTTATCTGTAAATCTGTACATTTCTACATAGTGCACCTTTAACTATGGAGGGATTCAGTGAGTCATTATGATGAATGAAAAAAACTTAAGATAGCTCAGTTAATACACAGACCTCCTCTGTTACAGCCGATGCTGTATTCTAACACAAAGCTTCCCTCAGGGTGTTCTCATGCCTGGTATGAGGGGTCAGCTGTGACCACATGATGAACATGATGCAGAAGGAACGCACTCTCTCAACAATGTCAACGTGAAGTTGTTCTGCACAACAGGTAATGTTTTTTTTTGGAAAGTGGGGTTTCTTTCCGTCGAAAATATTGAGGAAAAGCAGTGACTGTAGATAAAAATAAATGAATTTTAAAAAAAAGCAGTCATGACAACACTGGACTCACATCCCGGAACTGCACCATCCCGATCTCTCCCAGTTCACTGACACAGCAGTAGGCAGCCTCTGACTGGAGGAAGAGCTGAGCCAAGGTCATCTCCTCACTTCTGAAGAGTTCCCCCATGTTGCTGAAGGATGTGAGCGCTCAGCACCCGTATACCAAACAGAACCTTGAGAAAAAAAAAATATATATTCTATCATTGGAAGTGAAAAGTGACTTTTATTCAAGCTTTCATTACCTGTTCAAGAGTCCCCCCCCCCACCACCCACCCTTTCAAGCTCAATAAATTCTACATTCAACATGCTTGGCATAGAAGTGTCAAGATCTCTAATGAGGGGGAGCCTGTATCAGTCGTGTGTTACTTTAGCACAGCGGTGAGAGAGAGGCAGGGCATGTGGCAAAAAGATCATTTTAAAAACATATCAGTCAGCGTGCCCTCATGCTGATCTCATGATCACTGCAGGAATGTAGTTCACACAGAAAAAGACTTTTCTGCTTTGCAATATTATCGACTTTGAATTGGCTACAATTTGGATTATTGACGGAGAGCACTGAATATATAGTTTGTCTTTTAATTAAAAAATAAATAAAATTAAAAAAAAGGTGAAGATTTTCTGAGATAATCTTGGAAGTCGAGCAGTGCAACCTCCAGCTGTACGACCACACAGGGGCTTATCTCTGGATTACAGGGGAACACGTGACCTGCAGCTCTCTGCTAAACCTCCCCGCTGCATCAAGTGCACATGATCTGCTCTGATAAAGCGAAACAGGTTGAAATACTTGACAAAAAAAAACAAAAAAAAACTGTGACACTCTTGAACATTTCATAAGACAGCTGACTCCAAACAGACATTGTGACAATTTGTTGTTAACTTACTGCAGTGTCACCTGTCAAACCTGATAGCTACCTATATATATAAAAAAAACAACAACTAATGAAACATTTCCTGGACCTGGACATCGAACCACTTACACTATTAATCATTAATAATAAATCGTCTTATGAGCTCGTATAAACCATTTATAACCTCAGCAAAACACTTTTAGTTTACGGATGCTACTCTGATTAGCAGTCGTTGTTTAAAGTCTAACTTCAGTAAATACCAGCTAATATAACCTACTTATGAACACCTCTCCTAACAACAAACAACAGATAATCAGTCTGAAGTCAACAACATATTAGAGATATTTTGGCAATGTAACGTTACATAATTATATGGGAGTAGCAAGATAGCTAAAGCTAACTGAGCGCACCTGTTGTTCAATATTTGATTTAACCCACAATACGAACATAAACGCTTCAGTAGTTTTAGAAATGTGTAGCAGATTTATCAATTACAGCAACACGACACTTTTAACAACGTGTCCTTCCTTACTTTTTAGGCGGAGACAGTCTCTCCTCTTCTTTTCCCTTCTCGGTTTCCTCCGCGCAGTTTGTTGTTGCCTGTCGGCAGCTTCAGCAGGCGACTCTACTGCTGCTTCTGCTTCTTCTTCTTTGGATTTTATTGGCAGCTGGCGTCCAAAAAAAAAGTCGCATTACTGCCACCTGCTGGATTTAGTTATTACTCGCACTCCTCGACAAACCTGTTCTCAAGAGGTATTTAAACAAGCATCTCCCCACACTCCAGAACACTTTTGAAATCTCTTCTTTCTCCTTACTCCATTTGGTCTCTCCGTTGTGCTACATACTTTCTACGCTTCATAACTACATGTTCAACTGTTTCTGCTGGATTGCGTATCTCACAAAGACCGGATGAATGTTTTCCAATGAGTGCTATTTAAATCACTGTGACCAATTCTTAACCTGGTCGTTGCTCCCTCTGTATTTTACTTTATCTAGTTCCCTCTGAATTGAGTGTAAAGGTCTTCCCTTTGTCTGATTGTTCCAATATTGTTGCCATTCCTGTTTAATTTTACTCCATGTGACTCGTTTGCCCTCTGACTTAAATAATTTGATGTTAATATCAATGCTCTCTTTCTGTACAGCTTCCTCTGCCAACCTGACCACCTTTTCATTTCCTGCTATACCTGCGTGTGCTGGAACCCCACATGAACATCACACCTGTCCCCTGTTTAACCACCTGGGAATGTGTAAATATGATTTCATATAATACATCTTGACGACTGTGAGATGGTCCTGATTGAATACTGTATAAAGCGCTGACTGAATCACAGCATATCAGCACTTTCCTTCCTTTAATTTGCTCAACACATTCCATTGCAACTAAAATGGCGTACAAACGTTCAGGAAATCTGACATTCTCTTCGCTACTTCAACATTGAATTTTGGGATAAACGCAGCTGATCCTGTTGCATTTGTCATAGGGTCTTTAGATCCATCTGTGTATACTTTCATGCTCTCCATATCTCTGTTCTATGTGTTCATAGAATTCACTAACTAAATCAACATTTATTTTTCTTTCCTTTATCTTTAGTAACTCCAAGTCTACTTCAGCTGTCTCAAGCATCCACATTGAAACTGGTGGCCATAAAACAGCTGGACTGATATCCTTGTCATACACTCCCATATCTCTCGCCACTCTATCCCCTATCCATCCAAAACTGGACTTAATTGTTCTCTCCTTTTCCCAGCAATCCTTTAACACTGATTTTGTTGGGTGACTATCTCCATGTCCTCTCAAGCTCAGCCAATAATTTGCTAATAGCTGTTTCCTCCTTAAACATAGTGGCATCTCTCCTACTATACCTGAAGTGCGCATATTGGAGACGGCTGCATTTTTTACTGCCCTCTGGTGGTCCAAGTATGTACCTTCATGCTATTCATTGTGAGCTTTAATTTGAATGTTTTGACCGTATACGGTACTATTCCGTTAAGTCTGCCTTGTTGTAATTACTGATTGTGACCACTAGATGGCAACTTCACTTAAATTATACTGCCATTGATTTGATGTTACATGTCCTACGTTACATGCCACGTTTCTTATCAACTTCAGTTTTTTCCTTTTTGTCCTAAGTTTCGCTTAAACTACGGAACTTCTGCTATCACAAAGGAAACCATTACTATCTCATTAACATTGGAAAAAGTTAACTGTGACGAGTTAGCAACAATATCTACAGTCTATGGTTAGCAACACTATTTACAGTCTATGGTTAGCAACAGTATCTACAGTCTATGGTTAGCAACAATATCTACAGTCTATGGTTAGCAACAATATCTACAGTCTATGGTTAGTAATAGCACCTCGGTCAGCCTCGATTACGATCACTTTCGACCTGCCATCACTGCCAAGGACGTGACTGGAGATGTATAAAACACATATTGGAAAAGGTAGAATTTATTGTCATTGTCAAAAGGTTTGCTCACCATGGGCCTACATGGCTGTTACATGTGGATATAAATTATTATAATCCGTTTGGCGCCTTTTTTCATTCAATTATTGAGAATGATTTTAGGATAACTTCTTGGTTTCAGCATCTCAAAGAGGGTAAATGTATTTCGAAGATACGAAAAGGTCAAAATAAGATGTAATGTCAGAATATAAGAAAATTGAATCTCAAATTGAATCTCAAATAAACAAGTAGTTTTATTTTTTGACCACAAGAGGGCACTCAATGTTACATAGCCAATAAAACAGCTTAAACTAATGATTTGGTATTAAACGGTGCTTAGGTCAGTATATTTGTAATAAACATTAACTGTAATCTTCATATAATTACATCGGTAGAATAATTATTAGATATTACTTTATTTCGAAAATAAATTTTAAGAACTGGCTATTTTAAGAACTGTGGGAAGAGACAGGCTAGCTGCTTTAAAAAAAATGTGTCAAGCCAGAAATTCAGGGAAAGTAACATTTCCTGTGAATATTTTTTAAACAAACGGACTAGGCTTAAATCAGTAAATAATCATGTTTAATTGTTTTGCAAATGGTAACAGTTGAGATTGCAACACTACATTTTAGAGGAATAATACCTACATGTTGATTTCCAGACATCAACTTTTTTTTTTAAATTGACAATTAGTCCAGCTCCTATCCCTTTCCAGCCATAAATAAATTGCATTGTGTAAAATCTCAAACATATCAGACATTACTTCAGAGATGGTTTAATTTAGTATTTGTGATATTTTTGATAAATCGTTGATTTTGTTACATTTAGTTTCGTATAAAATGTTAATTTATGTGGAAAAACAACATACAATTATTCCCTCTCATTACCAACAGGTATGTTTTCTTTGATGCTGACGATCAGTTGTAATTCCTAAGTGTTACCACTAGAGGTCAAAGTCATTTAATAACTGATGTGGATATTGCTTTGAAGTTACAAGCATAGGTTACAAGAAGCTTGCTACAAAGTTCACTCCATCACTGCACTGAGGTCATCTTAAGTGATGAGAAGGATAAAAGAGAAAAAGTTGATGGTTTTAAATTGCTTTGAACAGTTATGCTAGCATGTTCACAATGAGTTAATCCATATTTAATATAGTGTTGCATTACGATTGTGGCCACTAGAGGGCAGTAAACACTTATTATATAGAATATAGGCCTTCTCTGTTCGACTCTAACATCTTATAAATCCTCTCTCAGTGCTAATACAATGAAAACCAGCATTAGTACAAGTATGAACAGCTTTTTATTACTGAAGTTATATCTCATTACAACAGAAGTGCAACTGTTGGAACAAATTCAATTTAAAAAAGCTAGTTTAATGACGGGTTCCTGGTGTTGAGAGGTTTTACAGTCAATGGTTGAGACAGAAAAAAAAGTATATATATATATATATATTTGGTTGAGACTCAGAGAAAGCAGTACTTCCAGTGAATCCCGTCAAAATAAAGTGACCAAACTGAGGCCAATAATGATGCTTATTGATCACTTATGATAGCAGAGAGTATAAAACATACATTAATACTAATTTTATTGTTTTAAATTTTTTGGGGTGGGATTACAGTGTATGTAACTGCTCAAACACTCTTTGGATAATTTGAATAATAATTGGTAACGTAAATAATATGACTGTCTATGAGCACGACTGAAATGAAAAAGAGACTGCAGAGCTATACTTTCCTTTAGTCCTCTTTCACTTCTCAAACGTTATTACTTCTGTTTTATTTTCCCTTAAAAAAAAATCACAACTTTAACTGTCAGGTTTTTGTTTTTGAAAACTGCTCTTTTAAATGTACTGGCCTCTGGTGGCCCTGCTTTTCACTGTAAGATAGGAGTGTCATGTCACCACAAGAGGTGGAGTCTGGACACAGGCTGTCCTGTGGGGACAGAACTGGGTGGAGCAGCAGGGGGAGCTGTGGGCGGGGGGGCTGGTGTAAGAAGGGAAAAGTTTGACTGAGTGGTTTCACAGGGCGCAGAGGCATTTGAGTCGGGGCACACATGCCTCATCTGTGAGAGGCCCTACTCCCCTTGGCTGGCTGGCATCCCAGAGCAGAGGCAGAGAGAGAGACAGTGTGTGAGACCGAGGGTGAAGAGAACGTTTGAAAGTAAGGTAGAGTAGAAAAAGGGAAACAGGGGTTTGAGAAAGTTTCTGAAAGAAAGAAAATAGGATTAGAGACAGAGCAGGGTGGCTCCTGCAGGTTGTCTTTCACTAGTGTATTTTTATCTCTACTGAGCAGGCGGTGTGTGCTTGGAGTTGACAGCCATGGCGGATACAGGTGTCATGAAGAAACACCAAGCAGAAGTGCCCTATGATGATGATGAGGAGGTTGCTCTGGTGGGTGCTGCCACTGAGCCAGCAGTCGATGAAGAAGACCCTGATGAGGAGGAAGACCTGGTGCTGGCGTCTGGTCCGAGAGGCAAGAGTGAAGCGCAGATGAACGGGATCATGGTCCTGTCTCTGCTAGATAAGATTATCGGGGTGGTAGACCAGATCCAGTTGACCCAGAATGGCCTCGAGGCTCGTCAGGAATCCATGGAGAAGTCAGTGTCGTCCATCCAAGGGGAGCTGGCCAAGCTGTCCAAGAACCACATCGCCACAGCCAGCACCGTCAACAAGATGCTGGAAAAGGTTCGCAAGGTCAGCGTCAATGTGAAGACGGTGCGCAGCAACCTGGAGAAGCAGGCGGGCCAGATCAAGAAGCTGGAGAGCAACGAGAGTGAGCTGCTCAAGAGACGCAACTTCAAAGTCCTCATCTACCAGGTGAGGCTGCACTGTTTGTATCAGCTTATTATCTATTATTTTCCTGACAGGATGCACCAAGTTACACTAAATAATCTGACAATCTCTTCATAACAACTTGTGCATGTGGCTAAAAACATACTTTCAGTTATGTTACACGTGCAGTACATGTCGGTCCTTAAAAGGAGTGTGTTGCATTACCCCGCATCACAAATAAAAGTTTAGAGCCAAGTGTGAAATTTCCCTGAGAAGCTTTCAGTTAGCCGAGTGACTTCTGACATCACATCACAGAGAGGGTTAGTGTCACACTGCAGCTTGAGTTCACCCTCAGCGGTGAATTTCTGAGGATGGAGGATAGTAGCCAAAAGCTTCAGCTCTGCGGTTTCCATGACATAGA